CTTTCGGAACAAAATGCAGCAGCAAATGTAAAACAGTTTCAGAACTTACACTAAGATATAAGGAATTCTTGCAAAATCTGAATAATGGCTCCATGTAAATGGTAAACGAAAGTAACAATGTAAAAACCGTACCAACATGGCAGTTTAATAATTGGGGCTTATTACGGATGTCACTTCACGGTAAAAACTTGTCACTAATCGTCACGGTGAAGTGATTCCCATTTGATTTGTACGGCAATCACGGCTCTTATTCTGAGTATCACTTCCTTATCACCCGTAATAAGGCCCATTGTAATAAGATTGTAATAAGAAATACAAGTGATGTAATATTGTTTTTGAATCAAACGATTGTTACTTTTTGAATAAAACTATAGAAAATCGTTTCCTGGCACGCTTTATTACTATTTAGGGGAGGAGGGGCATAGTGAACAGGTGGGGCATAGTGAGCATCCCGCAGTTTGGCCCTGGATCTCTAGCTGCATGAAACAAATCAACTGGTAGTAGGTTCAATATCATTATGATATTGATCCTACCACCAATAAATTTGTTCCGAACGGCCGGAAGTCCAAGCTGGTGCACGGGATGCTCACTATGCCCCTCTTACCCCTACATCCACTCCTATTATTGATTATCTTTTCCCTCATCAAAAGTTCCACCAAAGCAGTTCTGTCCGTTGAGTAATTTTAACCCAAAGGTAGGTTATTTTTTTGGTGATAAAATTTACCCACTGGTTCATATTGGGCTATTTACCCAAAATTGGGTATTTTAGTGTTTACCCAAAAATACCTTCTTGCACGGAAGTTCGGAGTTGGGTGAAAAGAACTCAAATTTGGGTAGTTTTCTATTTCCGTGTACCTATTCTCTCTGCCGTGTACACGGCGAATGAGAACGACTCAAATTTGAGTTTAGTTCACTCATAATCGCCAAAAGTGCAGGAACTCAGCGATGAGTTAATTTGCCTCATGTTTTCCCAGGTTTTTCCAGGATTTTCCAGGGAAAAATTCACGAATTTGAGAAAAGTAAAGATTGCATTCACTCACTCTATTGGTACTACTCCGAGACTGAATAAAATTTTCGTCAATTTCTTCATTTTCCGGCAGATTTTTTAGGTTTTCTACAGGAAACCATGAGACAAATTTTACTCATCGCTGAGTTCCTGCACTTTTGGCGATTATGAGTGAACTAAACTCAAATTTGAGTCGTTCTCATTCGCCGTGTACGAGGTATTATATCCATTATATCCCGTTCACATTATAGTCGCTATAGTTATTATAGTAGTTATAGACTTTTTTTTTTTTTTTTTTGTCTTTATTTTAGAGATTTTTAGCCTGAGGCTAGTTCATCTCTATAGTTATAGACTATAGTTCACATTGGCGTTGACGGCGACTCTGTAGCTCTTTACTCCTATGAAAAAATCCATAAGCAAACGTCAGACTGTGCGTGAAACATGGCGGACTTTGTACTATCCTTTCACTCCACCGAAAATTCCCATAAGAAACTGTCTATATTTGCTGAAAGAGCAAATTTTTCGACGGTGCCGTCAACGCCAATTACAGCCTATTGGCGTTGACGGCGACTCTGTACACAGAAAAACAAAACTACCCACCGCTTGGGTTTTTTAAACTCAAATTTGAGTTATTTGACCTCTGCCCGTTTCATTTCCTCTCGCTATTGTTGTCAAAAATAGAACGAAAGATTCGACTCAACCGTCCACGGCGAATGAGAACGACTCAAATTTGAGTTTAGTTCACTCATAATCGCCAAAAGTGCAGGAACTCAGCGATGAGTAAAATTTGTCTCATGGTTTCCTGTGGAAAACCTAAAAAATCTGCCGGAAAATGAGGAAATTGACGAAAATTTTATTCAGTCTCGGAGTAGTACCAATAGAGTGAGTGAATGCAATCTTTACTTTTCTCAAATTCGTGAATTTTTCCCTGGAAAATCCTGGAAAAACCTGGGAAAACATGAGGCAAATTAACTCATCGCTGAGTTCCTGCACTTTTGGCGATTATGAGTGAACTAAACTCAAATTTGAGTCGTTCTCATTCGCCGTGTCTAGTTCCGTACGAGAAGCCAAAATTGAGCAATATGCGATATACCCAAATTTGAGTTAATTGAACTTAAATTTGGGTAAAAAAAATTGAAAATAACTTAGCGATGGGTTATTTTTTTTGCCGTGCTTAAATGCAAACTACTTTGAGCCGGTTTACTCAAATTTGGCTTATCGTACGGAACATGGGAGATGAGTGAAAAGAACTTAATTTTGGGTGAGAAAATCCATAAGCAAACGTCAGATTGTGCGTGAAACATGGCAGACTTTGTACTATCCTTTCACTCCACCGAAAATTCCCGTAAGAAACTGTCTGCATTTGCTGGAAGAGCAAATTTTTCGACAGTGCCGTCAACGCCAATATCACGTAATAGGCTGTCTTGCAATGAGCACTCGCACACATAGGATTTCCAGTGAAAACTAGATGTATGAGTGCTCATTGCAAGACAGCGTATATCACGCGATAGACACTGTAATGTGAACGGAGCATTATGTAATTTTCTACCCTGAACGAATTTGACATATTCCTGTTATGTGGAAGTCTAATAAATTTGCGCTATAAGATAATCCATTGAAAATGGTATGATTGAAAATGTGTCAGGTAAATTCTATATGAATATCTGATACATTTACAATGCTGATAATTTGGTAACTTTTATATGATCGTCATATGATAAATGAAAATCGATCAAATTATAATAATTAACTGAAATGGATTTGAAACCCATAAGCATAAGCTATACTTTTCACCACAATATAATATATGTGTCATTAATCAATCGAAGTAAAGTTTATGTGAAAATAACATGAAATTTACTTCTTCTTTTGACACATATATCAAATCGATTTCTAAAAATAATTTCGAAAAAATAAACATCAGGCAGTGGGAGCTTTCACAGTTGTGCCTTTTTTTTTATTGTAGCTGATTTGGGATTCGATCAAGAACTGTTGAGGTGTGATGCTTTCGGTGTCTGTGCTCGATTCCACTGGGCCACGGCTGACTTCAAGATTAAGCTCGTTCAAATAGCATAAAGTAAGAACAGCTCTCCCGACATGGAATGTATTGCAACTTTATGCTCGTTTTGCTAGAGTGAAGACAAATAGCACTGACAAATTTATGTTCCGTTTCGGTGGTGTGATTTGTTCAAATCTTTCTTAATGCACCTGTGTGCAATAAATCAACGACTAAATTATATAATTTGATAGAACTGGCTCATGAAGTTCGAGTACTACTCAGGGCTGGAATCTGAATTAGCCGTGTAAAAGGCTTACAATTAGAATCATAGCAAAGTAAATATTACAGTAGAATCATTTTTTTTTCAATCTCAATACATTCTTTTCCGGAACCAATTATCTTATGAAACAATAACAAACAAAGATTATTCAATACAGTATCATTGTTGTTAGTAGTATTTAGTTCAACTAATCATTTTAATGAGTGTACGTTAACATCGTTGAAAATTTGTTTCAATAATTTATAAAGAACAATCATGTAAGATGTATTTTATTGGGAGCGATATTCATCCCAGAAAAACATGCCAAAACAAATGCTTGCTGTTGGATTTCTTAAAAGGCATTTCTGTATGACTATTTAATGATTGGGATAGATCTGTTTACAATCTCTAAACCTCAAAAATCAAAGGAAGCTATTCCAATGAGATATACATGTTTTCCTATACTGAAAAGTTAAATGACAGTCTAATAGTTTCTACATGTCTATTTACACGCGACATATCAACAAACGTCAAAAATCAGTAAAAGCAACTCCAATAAAATATACATGATTATCTTATAAGATATATATTTTAGTGAGGAATATTCATCATCAAAACAGGTATATTTTACTGAATTTTCTCATAGTGCAAACTTATATGATTTTCCATTAGTTTCTAGATGTCTGTTCCCACCCATGACATATCAACAGTTTTTCACCATGAAATATATCAGACAATATTCATATAATTCTTACCTTCGCTAACCACGTTCGAAGCAAAGTATTATCAAGTACTAAGTATGTGAAATTACGATAGAAATCATTCCATATCGCAGTCATAGTTTTTAAGTGATAATCCAATGGAATCTATCAATCATCACATAGAATGAATAAATCTGCTGACATTGCTATGTTATAAGATGGATCCAATAAACGGTACATGTCGATTTGTTTCAGTGTATGTAGAAGGTATATATCGACAGTGAGCATGCATAAGGGCGTACACGTGATGATCGATTTTCTCTTTTGTAAATAACTCGCTTGGATTAACGTTTCTCGGTGCGTTTGCTAGTTCTTTTGATAGCCAATACAACCTGTTACAGCACTGCATTGAACTTATTCTAGAGAATTGTTTCGCTTACCTGTAGCAATGCAAAGAGAAAACCGATGAAGAGAATCGATCATCGCGTATACGCCTTTATGAATGCTCACTGTCGATATATATAATGAACGATGCTCCAATTGGCGTTGACGGCACCGTCGAAAAATTTTCTCTTCCAGTTTCTTAAGAGAATTTTCGGTGGAGTGAATGGATAGTACAAAGTCCGCCATTTTCACGCACAGTCTGACGTTTGCTTATGGATTTCCTCATTGGAGTAAAGAGCTACAGAGTCGCCGTCAACGCCAATAGCGTTGTCATTGCCATCCCTGATATTATACCTAAAACCTCAAAATTCCGCACTTTGTCTTAAGAAATAGTGAAATTGAGTCATACGCACGTCACACGGTTGCATAAAACATAGAACAGCCTCCAACCTACATATTGTAGCATCCTTTTATATGGATATGTTTTGACTGATGGAGGCGAACCAGCCTAAGGCTGAAAGCCTCCTAAATAAAGCTAAATTAATTAATTAATGTTTTGACTGAATATTTTTTAATTTTTGATTCATCATTTTGTGGGCACCGCTAAATACCCCATGGAATATTTCGAACTAATGAAAAGCAAATCAGTAGTTTGCTTTACCAAGTATATTTCCCACTACAATTACGCCTCATAGACTAGGAGTGATCTTTATGGCCAAGAGGGCTTCTCGCCTTCTTTCAGAACTCTGCCATATAGCGCACTCTTATCACGGAACATGGTCATTCGTTCAGTCTCCTTGTTATCTAAAAACCACCCAAAACCATATCCGGCCAATGGGATAGCTGCCAGGAAGTACTGTCGAGTTAGTCCGAACATATTGTCCTCTACTGAACTTGCGAAACGTTAGCTAAGCGTTGTTGTTGCTTCCACTTGCGTGTATAGGCGTAATCTGCGACGATGGAACTGATTGCCAATGTCGGGAAGATTACTACAATACGATATCGGCGCCAGAAAGCCAAAATAGACATGAAGCCTGAAAATATTGCATAGTATATTATTAATTTTACAAAATTTTCATTATGTTAAAAAACGTACCTGCTTTGAATTGTTACGCAAAACTTTGTTTTGATCGAATTGACAGATGACACAGTCAGGGTCGATGTCAAACATACACACGGTAACCAGCGTAAACACATTAATGTGTAAAATTTCACACATTTCGTGAAAAAAGGGGCCTAACTCATTAAGCCTGGTACGCAGCTGAAAAGTAATGACGTTTTTATGTGCTACCGGATTGGAAGATTGCCGTAAAATCTCAACGCAGATGTCGCCACTGCATGATGATGATAATGTTGACAGACTGCATATAAAATTCGTGAAAATTAGCGTTAAATCATAATTTTCATCAAGCCTGTGTAAAATCCTTCCAATATAACATTCGAATTGAAGAAGAAAACGTTTTCACGATCAGACTGATATGCATCTTTGACTTTTCCAGTTGAACTTTCATTAGATATATTCATTTCATTTCGCGGCTCCATCAATGCTGCATTGTAAATATGATGTAAACAGAAGTAAATTGCTCAATTACTCAAAATAAAGATGATTTGTATTCTTGTTATCACTTTGAAGACCATCTAGCACCATTTTATAGCATGGTGCGTGTTGAGTAAAGCAAGTTCCGTTGCGTTTTCCGTCGAAAATTGTGAGTATCAATATGTTTTCTTAGAAAAGGCCAAAATGAACATTTATTTAATATTGGCGTCCTATACAACCAATTCTTCATTACCACCAGCATGATACAACCTTTCATAAGTAAATGAACTTAATTTCCACTTTCATCTTAGTGTAAATCTCACATATTTACCATTTTCTGAAAAATGCAGCTGCGCAGGAGGTAACCTCTCCCTGTGGGTGCAAACTTGTTATGCATAATTTGCCATGAAAACATCTCCGATCCATACCGAAATAATAACAAATAGTTTTCAAACACGTTTTCTTACACGATTCAAGCAAAAGTTTCCACGGGAAATTATTAGTTTTTCTTAATGGACCGATTTGCCCCAAAAAGCGTCTGTTTTACTTGGAAAATTTGGAAACTATCCTCCTTCTAGTAGTTCTCACTTCGAAATGTAGGTGGCGAAAGCTTGGAAAAGTTTCACTGCAAGACGCCAATAGGACACGGAATGCAAAAGAAATTACTTTTCCTCAGCATTTCTTGACCCAGTACGCAGTTCAAAAGAAATCGGTAAAGGAAACATCGATTACATTAGTATCGTGATCGACATGAAGGTGGCGCATTCTGAATGCAATTTCACTTTCCTTGCGGAATAATGGTCTGATCAATTATTCCGTTAGGTAATGTTGGCGTTTATTGCAAAACTGATGTTTTGGATGCATTTAAACAACATAAACACTAATAAGTGTTGATTTTATAATTTGACGACATCTCCCTATAATCTCAAAATTTAGCAGACTATAGCTGTCAAATTTTCTTTTGGGAAAAATCCTCAAAAATTACTTTTCCGTTTTCTTTTCAGCTGCGTACCAGGCTTTAAGCCTGGTACGCAGCTGAAAAGTAATGACGTTTTTACGTGCTACGGGATAGGACACGGAATGCAAAAGAAATTACTTTTCCTCAGCATTTCTTGACCCAGTACGCAGTTCAAAAGAAATCGGTAAAGGAAATATCGATTACATTAGTATCGTGATCGACATGAAGGTGGCGCATTCTGAATGCTATTTCACTTTCCTTGCGGAATAATTGGAAGATTGCCGTAAAAGCTCAACGCAGATGTCGCCACTGCATGATGATGATAATGTTGACAGACTGCATATAAAATTCGGGAAAATTAGCGTTAAATCATAATTTTCATCAAGCCTGTGTATTTTTTTTCCAATATAACATTCGAATTGAAGAAGAAAACGTTATTACGATCAGACTGATGTGCATTTTTGACTTTTCCAGTTGAACTTTCATAAGATATATTCATTTCATTTCGCGGCTCCATCAATGCTGCATCGTAAATATGATGTATAAACAGAAATAAATTGCTCAATTACTCAAAATAAAGATGATTTGTCATCTTGTTATCACTTTGAAAACCATCTAGCACCATTTTATAGTATGGTGCGTGTTGAGTAAAGCAAGTTCCGTTGCGTTTTCCGTCGAAAATTGTGAGTATCAATATGTTTGCTTAGAAAAGGCCAAAATGAACATTTATTGAATATTGGCGTCCTATACAACCAATTCTCCATTACCACCAGCATGATACAACCTTTCCTAAGTAAATTCACTTAATTTCCACTCTCATCTTAGTGGAAATCGCACATATTCACAATTTTCCGAAAAATGCAGCTGCGCAGGAGGTAACCTCTCGCTGTGGGTGCAAACTTGTTATGCATTATTTTCCATGAAAACATCTCCGATCCATACCGAAATAATAACAATTAGTTTTCAAACACGTTTTCTTACACGATTCAAGCAAAAGTTTCCACGGGAAATTATTAGTTTTTCTTTATGGACCGATTTGCCCCAAAAATCGTCTGTTTTACTTGGAAAATTTGGAAACTATCCTCCTTCTAGTAGTTCTCACTTCGAAATGTAGGAGGCGAAAGCTTGGAAAAGTTTCACTGCAAGACGCCAATGGTCTGATCAATTATTGGAAGATTGCCGTAAAATCTCAACGCAGATGTCGCCACTGCATGATGATGATAATGTTGACAGACTGCATATAAAATTCGTGAAAATTAGCGTTAAATCATAATTTTCATCAAGCCTGTGTAAAATCCTTCCAATATAACATTCGAATTGAAGAAGAAAACGTTTTCACGATCAGACTGATATGCATCTTTGACTTTTCCAGTTGAACTTTCATTAGATATATTCATTTCATTTCGCGGCTCCATCAATGCTGCATTGTAAATATGATGTAAACAGAAGTAAATTGCTCAATTACTCAAAATAAAGATGATTTGTATTCTTGTTATCACTTTGAAGACCATCTAGCACCATTTTATAGTATGGTGCGTGTTGAGTAAAGCAAGTTCCGTTGCGTTTTCCGTCGAAAATTGTGCGTATCAATATGTTTTCTTAGAAAAGGCCAAAATGAACATTTATTTAATATTGGCGTCCTATACAACCAATTCTCCATTACCACCAGCATGATACAACCTTTCATAAGTAAATGAACTTAATTTCCACTTTCATCTTAGTGTAAATCTCACAGTTGACAGTTCAATAGGTAGACTTGGCTTCACTCTTGGCGTGACTCATTATACACCGACTCTAGGTCAGACCATTATTCCGCAAGGAAAATGAAATTGCATTCAGAATGCGCCACCTTCATATCGATCACGATACTAATGTAATCGATCTTTCCTTTACCGATTTCTTTTGAACTGCGTACTTGGTCAAGAAATGCTAAGGAAAAGAAATTTCTTTAGCATTCCGTGTCCTATCCCGTAGCACGTAAAAACTTCATTACTTTTCAGCTGCGTACCAGGCTTTAAATGTGTAATACCATAGAGGTAACTCTAAGACCACTGGGTCCCGAAGAAAATCATTATTGTTTTTGGCTCACTCAGTACCAGAACAACGGTCCCAAGCAGTCCCAAGCTATTTCACTCACCCCTGCATGTTCTGCATGAATCCACACACCCCTGATGTTATCTGTCAAACTTTCATAGCGAATCAAAACAAACATAGTGTAGTAATAGAATTTCAACTAGAGTAGGGTACGTTAATCGTTTGCTTGGGACCAATAGGCTACTAAAGTGGTGAGCCAATTTAAAATCGTTAGTTTCGTATTGATTGTTGGTAATACCAACAATCAATACGAAACTAACGATTTTAAATTGGCTCACCACTTTAGTAGCCTATTGGTCCCAAGCAAACGATTAACGTACCCTACTCTAGTTGAAATTCTATTACTACACTATGTTTGTTTTGATTCGCTATGAAAGTTTGACAGATAACATCAGGGGTGTGTGGATTCATGCAGAACATGCAGGGGTGAGTGAAATAGCTTGGGACTGCTTGGGACCGTTGTTCTGGTACTGAGTGAGCCAAAAACAATAATGATTTTCTTCGGGACCCAGTGGTCTTAGAGTTACCTCTATGGTAATACCCCGTTCACATTACAGCGTATAGCACGTGAAATACGCTGTCTTGCAATGAGCACTCATACATCTAGTTTTCACTGGACGTATAGACTATGGCTTATATCATGTAATATAGACTGTCTTGCAATGAGCACTCACATATAGGATTTTCAGTGAAAACTAGATGTATGAGTGCTCATTGCAAGACAGCCTATATCAATGTGGTACAGAGAGAGGTGAAGCAGATCATGAAATATGGTTTTATTAGTAAAACAAAAAATCAACTTAAACGCAAGTAGTGACGTCACTAATTGCTTGTATCGCACAGGGGTTTTACTCACACAACTTAACCGATTGCTTCACCTCGGTAATCCAGCTCATTGAGCCTATATTACATACGGGCAAAGATATTTCATTAACAAGATATCCCACAAATCAATTCCTCGAACAAGGCAATGGATACACCACCCTTATGTGATCGCAGTGCCATCTCGTGAGTGCACATTAAAACTATTGGGAGTCCCCCGCCAACTTTACCACCAGGGCTCAATAAATGACAGGTGTCAGTATGACATATGTCAGCGTGGACGTTGATGATCAGCCGAGGGAAGAGGATGATCGATGTCATCATCATTATATTGCGATAGCAAGATTCTCACTTCGTTATGATTGCATCCATTTTCAATCATTACCACGTTATACGCATCAGAAAACCTTGAGAAAACAATAATAAATGCAGATACGTCCCTTCGAAAAAGTAATCGAGAATTGATGATTTATGAAGCTGTTGCTCAACATAATAGAAGTTGCATAGAAGTATACATGGAAAAAACGCAACGTTTCGAAATCATTGCTAAACAAACGTAATAAAATATGCCGTCTTCCTTGGCCAACGCTGCACGCTATTGGCTATTCAAAAATTACGTTGGAATAATGATAACTTTTCTATTTTATAAAG